AGGCACTCCATCTGGGATGGGCCGGGCATTCTTCAGGCGGGCGGAGAGAGCTGAGCAGAGAGAGAGAGCGGTTTTGGCTGGTCGTGGCTGCGGTTCCGCATTTGGTTGACTAGTTTTTAGTTTTAAGGTGGGAAACCCACAAATGGTACGTTGTTTTTTTTAATTGTTTTCTAAAGCGGATCAATTAAAAATCAAGTTGGCCAATCTGAAATTTTCAAAAATTGGAGATGGACACTAGTTTTTAGTATTAGGAGGGGGTTTAGTAGTAGGAAGAAGGGATTACTACATGATGTAATGCTTCGATTCAAAGGTGAATAGAACACAGCAGCGTTCGACATCTAGGCATTTCCATTAGACATGCTCCATGGCACCAGCACAACCCCCACCTTGAAGCTGATGAAATCCACAGTACGCTTATCACGGAAGCAATTTTTGTTGAGCAATTTACCTTCCAAGAGTGGCTAGCATTTAACATATTTAACAATCGCCGCAAGTTCCAGCCTCGAACAAATAGGCCTTGTCCATCTTGCCTCCCCGTGCTTTTTCAAACACCGCCACGGCCTCATAGGACACTCATGTTTCCAGGGAAAGGAAAACCACGGAGGAATTGTACATCTTGGCCGGCTGGTATAGGGAAATTCTCCAATCTTGAATCATTAAGCTGTTTTTTTGCAGTTGTTTTTTTTTTAAGAAATCATAGATCTTGAGGGGTGTTTTACCCTGTAAATTGTTCCTTTCTCCAAATCTGGGATTGCCACTGGAACTGGTACGAAAAACATGGAGATGCAAATTGTAAACATGGAGAGGGTTACCAACAAAAAAAGGAAATGATAGTTGATTTATAGCGGCTAAGTCTAAGTTGATTTTAGTTCATTTATATTTCACTAGTGTGTATGGTGATGAAATAACATGGGCTTGTATAAACCCACTGACATAACTAGGGTGAACCACCTTGTAGCCACTTTATACTGGGAAATGAAAAAAATCGTTCCATTGAGGTACTGTTCAAAATAACTGACCCATCAACGATTGAATGGTTTCATCTCAAGAATATCCAAAAATGACCAGCCGTTTATGGTTCAGAAAATGCAATCCCACCCCCCTGCTAAATCCTCACTCCAACCACCTAATTTGAATCCTTGCTCATCCTAGGCACTTTGACAAAAGAAACACAGTTTTGTTTCCTATCAGAGTTGCCAAAAACTAATCGTGCACGATCACGTAAGTATCTATGTTCATCTACCATCATCTACCAAAACAATGCCTTTCATCCTCACATAGTGTCGATATTCCCCGAACCGTAAAATCCTTAAGTAAGATACCGGGAATTTGCCCTCTAGATCTCTGGAAATCACACATCGTTAGCTCGGAAATCCCTGAATTTAATTGGCATTGATATATATATATATATATATTTATTTATTTATTTAAATGGGAAAATCAAGAAAATCATTGAACTAGGTAACTAGATGGTGAATTGTCCAGCATGTTTGAGTACTGGAATGAATATCCCCATTGCAAAATCGTGGCACGGCTGGATCCGTGTCAAACATGGCAAGCTGAGAAATCCCCATAAATGGAGGTTTACAGCTGGGAAAATCAACTATTTAAATGAGGGGTTTTCGAACCGTTGATATCCCGTTGCCGTTGATATCCCATTGATATCCCATCGGTATCAAATAATATCCCATTAAAAATAGCTTATCATGTCCTATCCCATGATTTCCCACTCGTATCCCATTCATATCCCGTGAATCTCCCATTTTATTGTTGGTATAACTACTATAAAACCATAAGTTGTCTTTCTCAATTTCAATCAAACGTGGCAAAACATTCCGTATCATCTCCCTATCATCTCCCTATATTTCCCGTTGACATTTCATGAATCTCCCATTATACTTGGTATATCCATCTTAAAAACCATAAGAATACATAAAACATACACCAAGTGGATGGATACACTAAAATAAAAGGGTTTTTAATCAACACATATCCCTATTGCTGATGGTTTATTTTCATATCATCCTATATTTATCCCATATTAGTCCCAATATGTCCCTGTACAAAAATCCATTATATAGATGGTTATATTCCCACTAAGATACCATATCAATCCCTTAAAGGGATATGGGTCTGCCTGAAAATAGGCTTTACCCCAAATGTTTGGCAATTTAAATCCATTTATCATGTTAATGATATTTAGACATTTAATGACATTTAATGATATTCAATAATATTTAATGATATTTAAGATAGTCTAATATTATCTTTGATGGGGATTTATATGGATTTACCAATAGATTCGGGGGGCACCCTATGACAAAGCCATGTTCGCTTCCCAGCGCTTCGCGCTTCCCGCTGGGCAGCCCCGGCGTCTTTCCAGTGCGCCACGTCCCGCCGCGTCATCAAATAGGCAGCCACCACGAAGCCAGTACGGTTCAACTCAGGACGTTGCACGTGGAAACGTGGGAAAAAACGCGGGAAAAAAACATGGAGAAATGGCGAGATAGTACGGAAATATCAAAATGTGTTCATGGGTTTTAGGGGGAAACTGATGGTTTTGGAGTGGTTTTACCAATCATAATGGGAGTTTCATGGGATATGAATTAAACATTAAATGTAGACATTAATGGGATAGTTCTGGCATATCAATGCTTATTAGCTATTTTGGTGGTTATAGTCATGATATACTACCGTTTGAAACATGATTAATGATCATTACTCGGATATATACCGAGTATTAATCTGGTTGGTGGTTTCAACCCCTCTAAAAAATATGCTCGTCAGTTGGGATGATTTTCCATTCCCAACTGTTTCTGGAAAGTCATAATCCAGCCATGTTCCAGTCACCACCAAGCAGTAATGGTATATTGACGATTCCATACATATAGTACCCTCTGGTAAACTAACATAGCTATTGAAAATTGCCATTTATAGTGGATTTTCCCATTAAAAATGGTGATTTTCCATAGCTATGTTAAATTACCAGAGGGTATAGCATAACAAGCCTGAAATCTTTGCCGACATTCGTGGGATACCTGGAAATCTTGAGGAACATCTCACTGACATCCTGGTTTTGTACACCACAAATGACTATGGGATTGTCGGACGTGCATTGTGTATGTTTGATCATGTTAAATTATGTTAAGTACCAATGATTACCAATGGCTGTACTACAATTGGGATTTAACATGACTTAACATGAGAAACACATGTCAATGTATGTTCCCAATGAACATGGAGAGTCCAGCGATGGATCAATGGATGAATGTACCCTCCAGTATTACAGAACCTGACGTACTGGAACATGCCTCACTTCTAGAAGATGTTCCTCACTTCTAGAAGATGTTCCTGTGGCAAAAAATACCGTTTCCCTCGTCAAGGTTCTTGACTAAAATGGAAGTAGGAACTGCTGAGTTCAACCACAGCCCAAACGCCATTATTCTGCTGAAACCATCTGTATTTGCTGACCTTTATTCCCCAATCTCAAGAAGCGACAAAATCGATATATCGCGATCCTGGGGTATAGCATAGGCGCCGAGCCGGAATCGAATAGCCAGATCTCAATCAATTCATGTAGTGTGGTTAAGGCAATAATAAACCACCCATTTGGGAATGGTTTATACCACCTATTTACGGTGATTTGGGGGATTGTCTACTATTGCTTTAACCAATTATAATCACATTACAAGTCAAGGTTGACCATCTCAATCTCACTGAATTATAAATATCATAATCATAATGATTCACTAACCTGAAAATATCTGAAAAAATGGCCCAAAAATTAGGGATGATTCCCCCAAAAAACAATATTACCATCATTCGACATCACGACTTGAGGTTTTGATCAAATCCATTCAGATCTCAATCTCATCAAATCCCATGAATATCCCATAACATCCATACAAAATCCATATAAAATCCATATAAAACACATCTAAAAAGAACATTACCTTGGACCTGTTGAAACTTCATAGCTTTGCCCCATATCCTGGGGAAAAATCGATGATATCCCGATTATGGAATGTTTAATCCCCATTTCTGCTATTAGTAGTGTATCTTAAGAAAACCCTTGTAGACTTTTAGTGCATTTCCCCTATTCCTTGGCAAACTCCCCCATGTTCAACACTCCAAGTCCATTCTTCGTTGGGAATTGTGATGCTCAGCCTCTCACGCCGTGTGTGCAATGAAGGCCTACGTACAAGTCAGGCCTCGCCGCGTCAGTTAGCGGAAAATCTCAAGATGTCTGTAACATAACCAGAAGTGGTACAAGGTGGTGTTGCCAGTTGACTAAGTTGGTCTATAACTGATATTGCACCAATGAGTTTGTGCTGATCATAGCAATAGTCCCTGAGGATTTTCCAATCAGTCTAAGGTTGAAGAAAACATACTTTTCATGGGAATTCTTAGCTAGTAAATGATTAGCAATCACAGTACTGCGATCCCCGATCTCAAGGGAAGTCTCAACCACTTTTTGATTACCGTCTCCAGCTCTTGAAACTAGTGATGGGTGCGGCTTGTAGCTGCTGAGCCCAGCTATGGTGAAGTCACATACCTTGAGATCCTCAAAATCGTAAGTGTGCAAACACATAAATTACCTTGCAAGTAAGTCAAAATTCTGCAGCCCTAGTGAAATGGATCTGATGTTTTCCGCTCAACATCGTGGCAGCACGAGCGCCTTTTTGTTCAAATCTTTGTTGAGGTCTTCTGCGATACTCAGTGGATGGGAACTCTAGCGCTTTGGCTAAAGCTCTGGGAACCTATTTATGTTGACAAAATGACGACTTCTCATCTTATGTAAAATGGACTGTTTGTTATCCAACCTATTACATTTCTTCAAATCACATCAAATAACAGCTTGGATTCATCTGGGTAAATTATCATATTTCACTGACCTGAATTGTAAGGCCATTTGGGGATGATTTCCCTAACATCAACCATGATTCCACTAATGGATTGACAACCCAAGACTTGGTCATCAAAATCGCTTCGCGTCGCGT